TTTTTAGCAATTGGCCAGATCTCGATATTTGTGCGAAGAAAGGCCGTTATGACCCGCATGGTCAGGCCATGTTTGCTTCTCCAGAGCCCGCGTCCCCGTCGGTTCTGTGTAACGCTCCATGTTGGCATTGCTTTGGCTGTGCCACAAAGGTGCGGATTGGCGAAAGTTTATCGGGGCCCTGCGACATGGCAGTGGGCGAACATCCTGCCATCCTCGGACAGCGCGCGTATTGACTCGATAGTGGCTTTTTGTGCGCATCGTCGTGGTCGACGAGATTGAAAAGTTTAGACACGATTTCTTTCGGTGCGACGCAGTCCCTTTTTGTATCGAGCATGTATCGGTTTGCTCCAAGGTTTATTTGTTGGCGCGGTAGCTGCCACCAGTGTGGTCGGATTGGGACTGACAAGCTGCAAGTCACGCTGTAGTCCAAACTATGCACACGTTGTCGACTAGGATAGAGTTGCCGGCGTCTATTGACGTCGGGTAGTGTTGACACTGACAGGCGACCGCGTATAAGTCCGCGTATTGGGTGAAGCGCCTCCCAATCTCACGCCATTGTGATTAAGGTCCGAAGCAGGGATAGGGGCCTCTTCGGGTACCCATGGGCATTGTGGGCAGGCACGTCATTCCTCGAGGAGATTTCTGCGAGCCGGGACGAGTGCACTGTAAGGGTGCACACCAGCCCCTGTTTAGTGCCAACGCCGCCAGACTCCAATAATCCTTCTGCACGCAGCCATCTGCGGCTTACCCGACGACCTTCGAGAAGCCGCCACTGTGTTTTTTTTTCTGCATGGTCGCACAGGAGCGCGTTTTGCCATGCGATGGTGGTATGCGTGGCGTGTTGAGGGCAGCCCTCTCTGCTACTGCACCCGTGGGCTCGGTCTCCGTGCCGCGGTGCGCAGGGCACAGCATAAGAAACTTTGTTTCACGTCAACGGCTTTTTGATATTCGCAAGAGCCCAAATCGGAAGGGCCAATCTCGCTGCGAAACTCTTTGTGGGTTTCGATGAAAATCATCCGCCTGAACGAGCCATTTGCGCACCAACGGCTGCGGCGTGGCTGTCGTCGGAGAGGCGCAGTCTAGGCTATCGCCAGTCGGGTAGATGTAGGCGTAGTCACATTTCGTATCTCGGTAAACGGCTCTTGGGTATTGATAGAGCACTTTACCGGACGGAAATTTCTCGCTCCGTTGCGGGCCTGATGAGACTACCCAAGGTCGTCGAGGGGTGAGCGAATAATCCTGCAGGGCTCGCTTGCCTTGTGTCACGAGATGCTGCAGGGTGCCTTGAAGCCAGGCGTGAGCCGCATCGAAGAATGCATGTGTCAGAGAGGCTCCGAGGAGCATATCGGCAATAACACGTCTTAGTTGGACACCTGTTGGGCACTGAGACCAGCCAGGGAGCTGCCCGGCCCGCACCCAGTCGCAAATCGACAATGGGACCAGCGACGGGCAAGCATGCAAGGACCACAGGGGAAACGGAGAGGCCAGCGAGGGTCCCTGGTAGCCGACTACTTTTGGCACAACGTGTCCTGAGCACCGGTTCGTAGATCCCGCCCGCAGGCCTGTCGTGATATTCGGGTCCTGGCCAAGCGGCTGACTCGTGGCTTATCAGCTCTAGACACTGCGATGCAAACTCGAGATGCTGGCATTGTAGCACCATGACACGGCTCCATCAGTTTGCAGATGATCGCATCAGGGTTGGCATCAAACGGAGCTCAACAGAGACCTGCGCCTGAATCAACAAAACGGCAGGGCCCGCCGGGAAAGGACAGTAATCCCGAGACCCTGGACAGGCCGTTATGCGCATGCCGTAGCCTCGGGGAACCGTAAAGAGAGATGAGAGCAATCTGCAGGCGATATAAGACCTGCTGTTAACGTCGAAATATCCGCTATCTGTGATTATTTTTGGACCTCAGCAATCCTCGACGAGGCTAAATGCAAGGTCTAGTCCTGGGCTTCTCGCGTTGCCTTGTCGGTTGGATTTATATTTTCCGCGCCGGGGGCCAATCACGACCCACTCGAAAAGCTGGGCGGATCCGACACTTTTGTACAGGATGGAAATTTCTCTTTTGCTCGGCCGTAGTGGCTAGTCATTGTACGATCCGGATGACCTGCCCCGACGGAGGAAGAAGAAACGCTCATGCAGGACCCGGCCTCGAGTCATGCCCCCTGCGTCGTGATCTCGGTTCAGGCCGCAGAGAGCAGAGTGAACATGTGCGGACAAGGTTCACTGGCGAGCACGTTGCGTCCCTGCACTTCCCAGGTGACGGGACATGTGCAATGCCTTGTGGCTGCAGATCGCAAGTATTGAAGTCATTAGACAATTACAAATTGAGATGATGAGGGTTAGGGAGGACGAGTATACAATGCTGGTGCCAGGATGCGCTATTCCCAGCTAGTGCAGAGGTATACACACCCACCTCTGCCCTAGAGGCGGCATCGATCTTCACGGCAGTCGGCTCAGCTTACCGCTATTCCGCGTTGGGGTCAAGCATCACCGGTGAATATGGCCTTCGTCCGTGGTGCAGCATCACAAGTTTGCCCTGCCGCAGTCGCCGTTCCACCTTCTACATGGGAAAGAGCGGTTGGGTAGCCGTCATGGGGCAGTCGGGACACTAACGCTGGTGCCGTTGCTCACACACCTGGCGGCAGCAGCATGGAAGGCCTCATCTTGCCAGCATCGTCGACTTGTCATGACATGCTTGGCTGGCTGCGATTACTTTGTGAGCTTCGGCCCCGCATCGTCAATGCTGCGCACACTCCAATAAGACGAGCAATATCGGTGGTCATGCCGTCGTCGCTCGGGCAGTTTACGGGCAGATCGTCAACAGCGCCAGCGTGCGATCGATATACCCACCGGAGTATTTTGCGTGTGCTATCCCAATGCGACACGGCCCACGCCTTTAACGGATGCATGATATACCACTGGCTTAGTCTGACCATGGGCACTATGTGTACGCTTTGCTCCCAGCACTCGACGCCACGGCGAGGCACACCACCTCGGGCGGCTGGAACACTGGACCGCCCGGCCATGTTCTGCAGGTCGAGGGGATCGTCTCAAATGCACCGAGTCCGCTGTTTGACCTGTCCTGCACACGGCGCTGGGCATGCAGAAGAAGGTACCAAGCGTGTGCGCCACATCCCGACCTCGACATGCTCCAGAGACTGTACAGAAGACTATCCAGCAGCTACTACGGGGACCAGGTGCCACGGATGCAGCTTACCGTCGCTTGCACGTTCTGAACCAGAGCACATTGCATCTGCCAGATCCATCACCCGCGCCATACAAGCTTACAGCGCCAGCGCCATGCCACTAGACGTAGCGTGTCGCATGACGAAGCAGGACACCCCACAGCGTCGATTGTTCAAGGGGATTATGACGAGTTGCTTTTCGGGAAAAGAGCGACTGCTTCCAATGCATCGACGGGAAACTCCACACACAGGCGCGGCCCTGTCAGCCATATCCGAGTGTCGATCGTGGCATCGGATGTGTGTCCAATTTTTTGTTAGTCGCGATAGAGTTTGCGCCAGCGGAGTGCGTCATCAGCGCGCAGTGGTGCTTTTGCAGCTCGCGACAGCAAGACCCTGAGCAAGCTTTCCCCGGCAGTCCATGCAGCGCAGCCGCTACGAGGCGAGATGTTCCGCTGCGACCGTCGGTCGGTGCGAAAAGGCCTGCGAGGCGATCAATGCAAGTGGTTGGTCTGAAGGGTCCGGAAGCGCGACTGACAGTGACAAGCGTCTTGATAGTGCACCACAACCGCGGGCCTGTCAGTGGGAGCCACACCTGTCGGCCTGCTCACCTCGCGGCGGCCGGTGGCAGGGCTCGCGTTGGTGAATATAACTGCCTTCCTGTAGGGCCCCTCCTAGCTGGCCGTCAATTCTCCTCTCGTGGGCGCCGTGGCTGCCGGACGCAGCCAAAAAGGCAATTACTGGGTCGCACATAAGCGCACGCCGAGGATTAAGGGCGCCGACTTATGCTATGCTTCAATTGAAAGTTTGCCTGGGCGGCTGCAAAACAATGGTGCATAGCGCGCAGAAGCGCGACCATATCTCGTTAGCACACCCCGGTTCGAGGACGGTGCGGAAGACAGGGGGTTGAGCGGCCTCTGACAAGGCTCCCCAACCCGCACCGCCCATGCACGCAGACAGCTGGCGGCCGTGCATATGTGATTCCGCGGGTGCATCGACCGACTGGGAAACCGGCCTAGCAGAAATGTCGAAGAACCATCAGCCGAACGAGGGAAGCATGTAGCAGTCCCCGAGACGCACCCTTCCCTGCTCCCGTTGCCCGGAACTCATCGTGGCCCCCTTCTCCTGGATGGCCCGCCTGCACGACTTGACAGGGATGTAGCAAAGATCTGTGAGTAGAATCTCCATAACCGATTGTGGTTATTACTGGGGAATGTCCGCCGAGTCGACTTCTGTTCTGGTCCACGACGAGTCGCCATCCCACTCCCTCATTGGTCCCACCCCATACAACACCACCACCTCGCCGCTTCTCTTTCTCGCCGCCCCATTGCCTGCCGCTGCCGTCGACACAAGGCCGACACTGGTCCGACACCGTCTCCATTCTGACGCCGAGTTAACCAGACACATCGCTGTTGTCGACCCCATTCGCCCACTATCAAAAGGTATTTCCATGTACTCTCTTTTGCCTCTCAGCCCATGTCTTCCTTCAAACTCTTCATGGCCCACAATGCCGCCACCCTGTATTGAAACTTGTTTGGACATGAGCATTTATCGATTCGGCGACTGTCCAACCATAAGGGAATGCCCTGCCTCTGGTCATTGTCTTGATCTTCTCCTCGCTTGTGCACTAGCTTACCTGGGACGCCATGCAGGCCTCATCATACTGCCACACCAACATCTCCCTGCCGTGCACTCTTGCTTCGCATATCCAAGGGCATCGTGCGAGACAGCCCACTTGTTCGCTCCAGCCTTACCTCTAATCTTTGTGCTCTTGCTGCTTGCGCGGCGTTTGAGCGCGCGGTGGTCAAACTATGCAGAGCCTGGTGCTACCTGGTCCGACCTCACTCCTTACCACGCCATTCGGGCGGCCTTCAGAACCTGAAGACGGCCTTGCCAAGTTCCGGTCGAAGTTCAGTCCTAACAGGTCTGAGCACCAGGGCTACCCGTCTCCGCCCATGTCAGAATCTCATTCCCCGTCTCGTCGAACAGCACAGCTTGAATCTGCGCGCCTCTCTTACCCTCCGCCGGGATCATCTCAGAGACAGGACAGCCTGACTCAACCGCCGACTCTGCCATCGTTGTACGACCCGCGGTCTACGTCGGGAGCGCATGCTCTTCCCCTACAGCGGCCACTTTACCCTGGAGAGCCCCAGCACAGGGGTCAAGCACTCCACTACCAACCCGGACGTGCTCACGAGCACCAATCTTACCCTCATGCCATCCCGCATAACTACGGGTATGGCTATCAAAACACCGGCCTGCCCCCCTATGCTGGAGTCCAGCACGGAGGCCCGATGGTGCAGCAGGGCGCGATGATCGCACCACCACCGTCAAGACCGACGAAGCCAGCCAGACGCACAAAAGCGCACGTTGCGTCAGCTTGTGTTAACTGCAAGAAGGCACATCTCAGCTGCGACGTCCAACGCCCATGTGGCCGTTGCGTCGCTTCTGGAAAGCAGGTTAGTCTTTGCGGCGCGAAGTCAAACTCTGGCGAGTGATCTAACGCATCAAACAGGACACATGCAAAGATGTGCAGCACAAAAAGAGAGGAAGGCCACGATTGAGAGACGACAGAGAGTTCACCAGATCAGACGACGGAAGACCACCTAGCCAGCTCGTAGGAGCGCCACCTACCTCCGAACCTCACGCTCATCAAGCGCCTTACCCAGTATCTCAGCAATATCGACCCTTCGAACCTCATCGAAGTCTGGAGAGTACTGCGCACCAGAAGGAGCTCCATTCCGCTGCGTCTGCGCCCCGGGACGCGCCCAACAGCGTGGGTGACTACAGCGGAGTGCAGGCACCTCCCTACGGCGTGGGACCGAATTTGGCGTACCAAAAGCTGCCTGTCGTTTACCTAAATTTGGACCTGGTGATACAAAAAGCAAACCAGGCTTTCGCGGACCTCGTATCGTTCCTCGGAGACATCAGGGGCAAGCATCTTGGCGAGCTTCTGGAAGCGCGACAGAATGAGAGCATGCAGAAGCTGCGAAACGACTTGCGCGATGAGCGCGACGAACGTGAGCCGACGTACATGGCGCCCATCACCCCGGTCGGACAAGATCCCATGCGCGCGGTGATGGAGTCGGTCCAGGATCAAGACATTGACCATGTCACCCAGGGGTACACGAATCGGCCCATGTACCTCAGCTTTCGTCTGCCGGCTAGTGGACAGTACCAGTCGCTGTCGGTCCAAATCCGGCTTGCCAGGACGTCTCTGTACTTTGTGACGCTCGTCGTGTGCTCACCACCAAGACACGCGGGACCGACTCTGTTAACGCAGCAGTTAGCGCCCTCAACATCACGACATACCTCTCAGGCCATGTCCGCACCGACAGCAGTCTCGCAATTCACGCCGCATCAAGAGCGTCGAACCTCAACGACAAGCTCTGGACCAAACTCGCCCTTCATCAACATCTCCTCCATCCGCACGTCCCTCCCCACATTCAGTCCAAGCTCTTACAAGAGCAGCCCTTCGTACGGCTACTCTCCCACCGCAGGCCCAGAATCGGGCTACTTCCCGACCTACCAAGTCCCGCCGCAGCCCACCAGCAGCGCATACCCTTCGCCATACGCACAACCAGCGCGCCCCCCAGCCGCAACATCCGAACCTCTCCGCGAGCTCAACCGGCCTCCCCGTCTCGAAGGCCTCCATCTGCCGCCCATTCGAACAGGGCCCGCGCCGCTTGGTTCTCCGCTCCACGTCGAAACAAGCGCTGCGGAACGCGAGCGTGTGCGAATGCACGACTCACCGTCCAGTAGCGCCGAGCAGCGGAGGCCCGAGTCGCCCGACATGGGCAAGCGGCGGCGGTTGAATATACACGAGGTGCTCGACTAGACCAAACAAGTCAGGTCGTCAAAGCCAGGAGGACGTCGATTGATTGACGTTGCAATGCGTTCCCGTTCCTGAGACGCGTCGGCTGGTGTGAGGAAGATTGGAATTGGGGGACGTGCAGCGGGGTCATTGCGGTTCGCGCGAAAAGAAGGGATCATGCGTGTTTCCAACAGGCTGGCCGTGGCTCGTGGCTGGCGGTAGAAGTGCGGAGGGTACCGACAGTCGGGTTCCCTTGTCTGACTGAAACTGAAACTCGGCGCTTTGCGAAGCGGAGGCGGGAATGGCGCATGTTGCACACGGACGGGACGACGACATGGATCTGATCTCATACGACAATTCTTTCCTCACGAAATCTTACTTGTCGCTTCTTGAGTTGCATTTGCTTGCGGTAGTCGTTGTTTGCTGTCCTTGCATTTTGGGGGCGTTGGTTACCCACTCGTGTTGTTTTTCTTCTGCGATGTTTTGTCGTAACAAGCCATATTTTGGGATTTTGCCCATTCGTCATCTCTTGCATATGACAGCGCGCTCATGGTCCTGCTCTTTCTATCGATATCACTGCTCTTGTCTTCGTCGCGATTAGCATTGCTTGACGTGCGTACGTTACCGTTTGGCCTTGGTTGGCTTCTGCTTCTGTTCTGGTTATACGTCGCATATCCCTCGTCGCTTCGGCGGTGGGTGACTTGGAAACCTGTTTTGGTCTTGACAGCGTTGTTGTGCGTGTTGTTGTCTTCTCTCTTCGTATGCGTTGCTTTTGTGGGCGGGTCTTTGCGGTTCTTATCCAAGTACTCGTCGTACGGTGCGTTCACGTCTTGTACCACTGTTGATCCGTGCCCTCGCGTTGGTGTTTCATCGTCAACCCGGGACTGGGTTCTGAGTCGCTTTCCCGCCTCATTTGTATAGTAAACGCGTTTACGCACGAATTGGAGGTCCTGGGTGTGAGCGGGAGTACTTGTCGTTTCCTGGTGGGCAGCGGAGTAGCGAGTGGGGGGCCAATTTGGGTCCTTGGGCAAGACATGGATTCGCGTGAAAGACCAGAAGGAGCGGAAGACAGAACAACGTCTCAGCCGCCAGACCACCACTATATCTATACCACCCACCTGTCGGATGTCTGAACCGACGACAAACACCACGGGAGATTACAAGGACAACAACAGTCACGTATGGTTCAAACTACATTTCTATTCTTGGTCCACCTCATCACCATTCACCGCCGAGGTACCACGCTCTCTTTCGACAAGAGAGGCCCGGATACAAGTCCGGAAGTATATATGTGAACCTGTACATACCACGCATTTACGAGCGAAAGCAGTTTGGCTACAAGCTCTAAAGATAGTTATAGTTATGGGGGGAGTGGGGGTTTTTTTGGTTGGGAAAGTATTGGCTGCTAGGCCAGGTGGAGGATATACCCGCATTTGGTTTCTCGAATGTTGCAGAGGATTGGATGGACACTTGGAGATAGATAGCGCAGAATTTGCTGGCTATCATGAGGTTCTTGGTTGTATCATACAGTTTTGGAATAGGCATGAGAGAATATGAAGGATCTTTGAGTCCTTCCTTCACCCATTCTCCCCTGTCCAAAGTACCCGACCAGAGTGCAATGTGAAATGAGGTTGTCCAGAGCATGTAGATCTACGGCCCGTGGCGCTTGTAGTGCTATAAGCCTCGATATGTGAAACAGCTACTGCAGTTTGGCGAAACCTTAATGCTGGCGACGAACACGCTGTTCGCGCATTCCAACCTACCAGGCGAGGCGGAACGCGAGATAGGGTGACAGCCGAGATGAGGATTTTGGGGGCGAGACTCATTCAATATGACGTGCAGAGACTGGAGGTGAATAGTGCAAGGTGTTTATTGTGTATGCAGTGGTAAGAACAAATGGGTATCTTGGTTATGAAAGTATGGTTCAAGGGTGCCGGCTGCTGACCTTTGAGATAACCGGGCGCAGGCGACAGAGCGCTAGATCCCGGGCATCTGTGATGGCTACCGCCTCTGGGACAGCGGATCTTGTATGCGGGATACAGAGGAGACACTGGAGGTGCTCATCCCAGAGCCTTGACCTTCTTCTTCTTCTTCTTTGTACCATCCGCGGCCTCTGGTTTCTTTCCCTGCGCAAACTCCCTCCAGCTGTTGATGCGCGTGTCCCTGGTCTTCTCCCAAGCTTCATCTTGCTCCCTCTTCCGCTTGCGCTCCTTGATCTCCTCGTCTTCCTTCCTCTGTGCACGTCCCTCTTCTCTCATGGCAGCCTTCTGTTGCCTCTGCTTCCTCATCTCGTTGTCTCGAATGACCCAGATGACCTTCTGTCTCCACTCCTTCGCAAACTCCTCGCCACGCGTCTCCTCGTCGTCGGCTGTGAGCTTCTTCTCTCGCATGAGCAGCATGCGCGCATCGGCAATGTTCTCGTCTAGCTCGGCGCGCAGCTTCTCGTCGAGGAGGACGGTCTGGGCTTTCTTGAGGCGGTCGAAGGCATCGGGCGCGAGCTCGTTCTTGGTCTTGTCGGGATGGATGAGGAGGGACTTGGCGCGGTAGACTTTCTTGATGTCGGATTCGGGGACACCGGGTTGCAGGCCGAGGACGGCGTAGGCGTCGAGACTGAAGACGCTGCGGATGCCTGGATTCGTTAGTTTACGTCACTCCATGATAAGCAATAAGCATAGGTTTCTGCTTACGGTCTATCTCAGCGTCCTTGTCGAGCTCCTTGCCGAGACCTGCGAGCTGGGCATCGATATCATCGTCCGCCATGGTGGGTTGTAGACGCGTTGTTTGGAGTTGAGTGTAGATGATGTGGTGTGTAGTCGATTGGAGGTCGGGAAATGAATAAGCCGAATTCTGCACGTTGCACTAAGCCCTGTCCAGTGGTGTTGAGGAGTGAAAGTGAAAATAGCAGTTCGCGATGCGATGGCGCGTGAATGCGTGGATCCCCGCGGCGAAGCGCACGGACCCACCTAGGCCGAAAGTTCTCCACCAAAAAGTTCTCTCGCGATGCGCCAGTCGACATCAACACCGAAGCAAGCCGAAGACTCGATATCGCGCCGCCATGGTCGCATCTGGAATCACTGGTCACACGCGGCCTTTCAAGCCCAAGAAGAGGGAGAATCTCCAGAAGAGGAAGCGCGACGATGTAGATGTGGAGAAGCTGGAGCAGGCCGTCCAGCAGCTGGTATGAACGCGCCGATATACACGAGACATGGAGCGCAATGAGCTGACTGTACATGCAGGACCCCAAGCATGGCAACTACAAAGACTTCACCGACCTCCCGCTTTCCGACCCGACCAAGCAAGGCCTCAAGTCGTCGCATTTCGCCGTTATGACCGACGTCCAAGCCAAAGCCATACCTTTAGCTCTGCAGGGACACGATATCCTCGGCGCTGCGAAAACTGGCAGCGGAAAGACACTCTCCTTCATCATTCCCGTCCTAGAGAATCTGTACCGCCTGCAACACATTGGCCCCGACGCCGGCTTGGGCGCTTTGATCCTATCCCCAACTCGAGAACTCGCCATCCAGATATTTGACGTCCTGCGCAAGATCGGACGACATGGACACATGTTTGCGGCGGGTCTGCTCATTGGAGGAAAGAGCTTACAGGACGAGAGGGAGGCTCTGACCAAGATGAACATAGTCGTCGCAACACCCGGTCGCATGCTGCAGCACTTGTCGCAAACGGCAGCCTTCAGTGTGGACGACCTGAAGATGCTGGTGCTGGACGAAGCGGATCGAATTCTTGACATGGGCTTCCAGCGCGACGTGGACGCAATTGTCGAATATCTTCCCAAGGAGAGACAGACGCTGCTCTTCTCGGCGACCCAATCAAAGAAGGTGTCCGACCTTGCGCGCTTGAGCCTTCAAGACCCGGAATACGTATCTGTACACGCCGAAGACAAGAGCGCAACTCCAAAGGGCCTCACGCAAAACTACATCGTCTGCCCCATCGAAGAGAAGCTGGACACCCTCTGGAGTTTCATACAAGCGAGCAAGAAGTCAAAGATTCTTTGCTTCTTCTCATCTGCAAAGACTGTCCGATTCGTCTACGAGTCTTTCCGTCATATGCAGCCCGGTATACCACTCCTTCACATCCACGGCCGTCAAAAGCAGGGAGCCCGACTTGACACCACCGCAAAATTCTCCGCCGCGAAACATTCCTGCCTATTTGCTACAGATGTCGCAGCCCGAGGACTGGATTTCCCAGCAGTCGACTTTGTAATCCAGGTCGATTGCCCCGACGATGTCGATACCTACATCCACCGCGTCGGTCGAACAGCACGGTACAACCGGGAGGGACGGGGAGTGCTATTCTTGGCACCAAGCGAAGAGGAGGGTATGCTGAAGCGTCTGGAGGCTAAGAGAGTACCCGTCGAGGTGATCAACGTGCGCCAGAAGAAGCGTCAGTCAATCAAGGACCAGCTACAGAACATGTGCTTCCAGGATCCAGCTCTGAAGTATCTCGGCCAAAAGGCCTTCATGACGCACGTCAAGTCGATATATCTACAGAAAGACAAGGAAGTCTTCAAGCTCAAAGAGTACAATCTGGAAGCATACGCCTCTAGCTTAGGTCTGCCAGGAGCGCCAAAGATCAAGTTCTTGAAGGACGACAACAGCAGACAGAAGAAGCAGGCATCGAGACAAATGATCGAGGTTTCGGACTCTTCGGATGCTGAAGAGACGGCCAAGGCAGACAAACCCGTGCGAACCAAGTACGATCGCATGTTCGAGCGCAAGAACCAGGATGTTTTGGGAGAACATTATCGGAAACTGGTCAGGGATGGAGATGACGAGGGCCCAGCGGACGAATTCAGTGGTGCTGGAGCGATTAACAACGCGGCCGACGACGACTTCATGGCCGTCAAACGACGAATTTCAGCGGACGACGATGCTGGCGATATTGACGCTGAGAAGGCTCCCGAAGTTCCGCCCGGTGGTCGCCTTGTTCACATTGCTGGTGCATCCCAACCCATCGTTGTCGACAGCAACCGCCGCGAAAAACTCCTCCAATCCAAGAAGAAGCTCACCAAGCTCATGGACAAGGGAAAGAAACTTGTCTACGACGACGACGGCAACCCGCACGAAATCTACGAACTCGAAGACGAAGAGCAATGGCGCGCCAAGGGTCTTCCAGAAGAGCAACGCCAGAAGTTCATCGAAGCAACACGAGAAGTCGTTCAAGCCGCCGATGTCGAAGACAAAGCGACTGCCAAAGCGAAGAGGAAGGAGAAGTTGTTCAAACGCAAAGAAAGAGAAAGGGCTAAGCAAGCTGGTGAAGCTGGTGACGATAGTGACGATGCGGGTGTCGAGCTTCCTGATCCCGGTGAGGATCTTCTTGCAAACTTCAGGGCGGACGCGGAATACAGTGACGAGGAAGACGAAGACCAAGAAGAGCAGCCAAAGAAGCAGAAGAAGTGGTTCGAGTCTGATTCCGAGGATGAGGAGAAGACTGAGAAGAGGAGGAAGAAGAAGGCCAAGGCGGCGCATAGAGTGGAGGAGCCGGAGACACTGGAGGATATGGAGGCGCTTGCTGCGGGCTTGCTGGACTAGCTGTCACGCATCGGCGTGTGAATGTTTTTATAATGCCATACGATTATCAAGTTCTTACCAAAGCCTCGTTCCACAATTCTTACGACTTTCCACAAGTGTTACGATTCTGCGACCTTTAAAACTCAACTATCACGACTACAAGACGTCCAACCGGTCGACCCATCCTTTCGCGCAGGACCGACGCTTGCTTACCGAAACTCGTACCCGGTCGTTAGCAGGGGTGGCTTACCATGCCGTTGGTATTGCCGGTATACAACCTCGCATGCACTGTATAGTGCTGAATCGGTAGGCTAAATGCATACTTGTTGAGCCTCTTCCACCCGTCTCCCGGTTACGATACGAGGCTTTATATGACGTGTAGATGAAAACGCATTGGTGGGTTTCTATCTTGGGAACGTGGTGGTGCGAGGGAATATCCAGGAGTACAGTTCGTATTCCGTGTAGGCGGTGGGTGTAAGAGTAGCATGGGTTATATACTATATACAGGGCCTGCGTTCCTGGGTTTTCTTGTCTCTTCGACCGATGGTAAGGCATTGGATACAAAGCAACATCTTATAACAGCCCCGTGTGGTGTTACTCTACTTTTACTCTGTGGCCTCTGTCATCCCGAAAGATATCCCGAAAGATATCCCTCACAATGCATCTTCCCACCCCTCTCCTCATCGCTTTATCCTCCCTCCTCACCATCACGACCAGTACTCCAATCCTCCCCCGCGCCGCCCCCATCGGCACACCCCACAACATCTACCTCAGCACCTGCACAACCCGCTCCCTCCTCTCAGACAGCACCCTCTCCTCCGCGATCCTCTACACCGGCCCCGCCTCCAGCACCTCCCCCACCGACATCGGCACCGTCTCTTCTTCACGCGCGATCCAATGGGCCGGCTTCACACGGCGTGTCGATCTCGAATCTGGGGTGTTTGAATCCAAGATCAGTCAGAGTGCTGATACTTTTGCGAAGAGTGAGCTTGCAGGTGCGGCGTCGTTGAGTGGTACGGATGGGGGCAAGGAGGAGTTTGTGTGCTTTAGGGATGGAGTAAGTACGTTTCGGTTTGGAAGTGGGGTTGTGGGGGATAGTGGGGAGACGACGGTTTGTGTGGCCGAGTTTTGGTGTGCGAGTGTGGGGGTTTAGGTTGGGAGGGAGGAGGTAGTGCATGACATTGGATTGCGTCTTTGGACGTATATTGACATGTATTTTTTGGAAGTACGGCTTATGAGAGACTTGGAAATTCTGCTTTGAACTTGCTAGGCGACTTGCTATCCTTCATGAGTAGCAATAGTTAGCAACCCGCAAGTTCCGTCTATACCTTTGCCGTGTTATAACCTCCATGAAGCATTCAGGGGGTCTTGGTGTATACAGAAAAAAACTTCACCTCCAATTTTCAGCGTTCACATAGGCAAAAAAAAGGTCAAAAACATACAACAGCGGGTATTCCCCGGTGGTCACCCACCCGAGTACTAATCCGCCGATATCTTGCTTAACTAGGGCTGAGCGGACGGGAAGCCGTGGTCTCAAGATTCTATGGTCGTATGTGGAAGAAATGGCGGAAAAACTCGTCTCTATTGTCGGGTTTGGAGTTTCTGACGTGAGGATGGAAGACGGAAAGCAGTAGGTGGAAGGCTCGGATCAATGTGAAAAGCATACAGCGGTCACATGGAGTTTGTTTGAGTAGGTGAGACACCTGTACTCCCGCGTTGTCGTTCCATGACAAGAGGTGCAATGAGACATGCGGGTGCAGTGGAGATACCAGATGTTGGTAGCGCTGCAACAGCAAACATCCCGCAGAAAGAGTGTAGAACCGCATACTATGACGTACATGACAGATCTCGTCTAACCTGCCTCATCCAAAACATTTCAAAAATGTACATTCCCGAGATCCCATTGCCAACCACACCTGCGTATGCACCTCCGGTAATAGTCGCTTTGGCGTTCCAGCTCTCCACACCCGCGAGCGTAGATCATCGAGACAACTACTCCACAACTAATTTCCCGTTCCTGAACCTGGCTTCCTTCGCTCCGAAATAGCGTACCAGAGTACACTTACATGCAGCTCGGCTACGACTGCCCATCGTTATTTCAACGTATGTGACTTCTTGGGACCGAAGGATGTCACGAACCGCGGTACGGAAGTGCAAACTTATGTCCGATCGCGGGTAAGTTCCTGGCTAGAGTTCTCGGGCTGTAGTCTCGCCGGCGGTTTCCTGCCTTCTAAGCGACGTCATGGTCGCGAACGTTACGGAGATTTTAGTTGGGGGTTGGTGTTTCAACTGTCTTGTAAGCCACGCTGAGGACATGACGATAGCGATTCAGGTACCACGTAGACGCATCTAAACGGCTAACGGCACAACGTGTCCTCACCCGTTTTTTTTTTCACATGATTTACAGCAATGAGCAAGAATGTGCCCGACTCACTCGGTCAATCTCCGCGGTACCGTGCCACTTCCCTTAATCCCACTATCACAATCACAACCTTGGAACGCATGAAGGAGCAAGAAGCGGAGAAATTGCACCGAAGCAAAATAAACATAGCCTATCCTACTTGCATGGAGGCTTCGATGCGAAAGAAAAGCAAGCGGATGTGGTTGCGGAGCTGGAAGAAGCAGTGTTAAGTACCTAGCACAAGTGTCTGCAGCCGACCATATGCGGGTAGCGGGTACCTCACCCACCTGCTCTTCTTCATTTACATTCCTTTTGCTTGTAACAACTGCTTTTCTCCTTCCGCGGCTGCAGTGTTATGCAATGCACAAAGAATTCTCCATCACTCACTAACGCATGCAGCGACTGCACGGAATGATCACTCCTGCATTCCAACGTTTTCCCCACTATCTCACACAGCATCCACCCTCCTCTCACTCCATCGCTTCGGCGCATTTCCCTACCATATCGATACGGTCGGCCCGTCCGTCACGATGTAACGGCATCCACCCTCCAAAAGTTTGGTCCGTTGAGTAATGCCTCTTCAAAACCACAGTCAACGTCCGCGGGTAAGGAAAATTAGCCCACATCGCTCGCGCCATGCAGGGGCTCAGGGGCTGGCTGGTGCGGCGCAGCTCGGAAGAAGGCGCCAAAAGGAACGACGGGAAAAAGGAAAATAGGGAAGTAGAAAAAGGGAAACGACATAACGATAACGTCACGGGTTTATGCGAACGGTTAGTAGCGAGGTAGAGGGGGTGTGGGTTGCTGCTAGGGACGTTTCCGCGGGGGGAGGAAGGTTGCGCGAAGGGGATTGCCGGGTCTTTGGATCGTGGGTTGGAATGTGGCTGGGCGTGTGGGAACGAGATGAGCATGACGAATGCGGATGTTGATGTAGAGAGTGTAGTTGTTTGGTTAATCGTCAAGATTAGACTGCACGGAAGTGAACGAAGCCCAAGAGGTGTGAACTCATGCCGAAGCATATTGATTCCATTTGCAAGTCTGCATAGCTGCATTCTTCTAGACTTAATGGGGTGTTAATACACCCAGTCCCTATGATTCATTATTCCATTACTCCAGCTGACTCCCGTCAGACAAGACATATCCAAAGATACAGAAACCACCATGCCCTCCCAGCCTTCGAACAAATGAGAAAAACATAGAGTAGTAAAGGAAAAACAATGTACTACGCTGAGCAAAACGACGTTTCGTGATATCCAGTCCTCCGTAAATACAAAGGAATCCGGGGTGTGAGATCAAGTAAACGCTTTTAACTCCTTTGGTGGCAACGCCCTGCGCCAATTCGTGATAGTATCCAAGATTGTGTGCCGTATTAAGATTATGCCTCCATGTGTGCCCATGAATTGAGAGAGTGAAAGAAATAAAGTGGAAAAGAGTATGCCGTATCGCCATAACAGACTGGCAAAGAATAAAAAACGCATCGACGAAAAGTCCGGGTATAGTCAAGAAGCGAAGGTCAACGTTGCGATAAGCATGCTATCAGGATTGAAGCTACTACCCTCTAAAGTCCCCTGGTCCCTGGTTGGCGAAGATGTAGCTCTTGGGCTGGGGTTCGGTCGTTCGCCGTATCAGGTTTCCATGCGGGTCCGTGCCTTGAGGTGGTGTGTACTGGTGTACGAGGAAGTCGGGCATGGCGGAGACTTGGGGCGCGAAGGGAACGTTGTGATGGATGCCACTCAATGACATGTCCTTGTAGTCATCATACATGTTTCCGCCCTGCATGTACTGGACATTGCTGTCATCACCTTGGGTCTGAGCAGTGTCAGGTAGCGATGGTCGCCTGAAGTGCGAGGGCTTCGGTTGTTGAATCGTAAGATCGGTTGTGGAATGGAAAGCTGCACGCATCTGGGGTTGCTGCATGTATGATGTTCGAGGAAAGTGCTGCTGTGTTGCTGGTGCTGACTGCGGAGGTGTGTCGCGGTATAAGGCGTCGTTTGCAAAGCGCGATTGCAGATCCATCGATGAAGATGGCGGTGAAGTGCTCTTCGCAATCACGTTTCCAGATTGGTCGCTGGACCAGTTCGCGTGCATGCTCTCTGGGCTGTTGTGATCCGGCATCGCGGAATGAGGTCTTATCACGGCAGCACCACCCCAATAGTTGCCGAAATCTTGTGGTGTCAGTGGAGTCGGTGGTGCTAGACTACCGCCTTGTCCAATTGTGGTGGTGCTCGAAGTCGAGAAAGTTCGTGCGAACTTGGGCGACGCAGCAGCATCGGAGAAGCTCATAGCCATAGGTGAGCGTTGTGCTGAACCTGGCTGTGATTTCTGAACACGACCCCCAGCATTCGCAATTCCAGTTGATCGGATCCGGCGGATGACCTTGTCGTGGTTGCCTCCTGGTGATGGCATGGGGGCAGAATACGAGGCGCTCCTCATTGCGCTGGAGTTCAGGTTGACTGGACGCTTCTGTCTCCTCGCAGCGATGCTTGAATGCTGATCTGATTGTTGGAAGCCCTCCGGAGTACCGTTTCGGATGTGGATCGCGTCCATGTTGTTGGCCAGGTTGCTGCTTGAAGAGTTTCTTCGGGCAAACGCGTCCTCGCGGAAGTGCAGTGGAATGTCGAGATCAGAGGGCGCAGCACTGAGCTTCCGTGCTTGTTCCGGTGAAGTGAGGATGGCGTGTGCAGACGAGTTTGGCTGTTGGTAGAAGTTCGACTGCGGGTACATTTGGTTTGAGCCATCTTGTGGCCAGAATGGAAGCGTCTGTTCGGAGGCTGATGCCTGAGCAAGACTGTATGGTGCGAATTGATCCTCTGGTTCCTCGACCTGCTTGGGCTGTGCCATTTGCGAGGGATCCTCTGTCCAGCCGGTGTAGACCGAGTTCAAAGAGGCGATGGAGGGAGGTGTAGGTCCATTTGGCGATTGCGTGGTGCCAGATGACTGGGTGCCATTGTATGGGGACGCGTCCGACGAGATGGATCCTGTACTTTGCTGAGCTTCTGCAGATGTAGAGTTGGTGGTGTTGGTCGCAGCAAGTGCCGAGTAGTCGATCTGGAAGTCGGCGAAGTTGTCGAATTCTGGGTGTGAAGGTGCGATGTCGCTGGGCATGGACGCGGGAACCGAAAAGGCGCCTAGGTCGCTAGAGTACGCATTGGGCAGCCCGTTGACACCGTTGTTGTCGTAAGAGAAGTCTTGCTCTTGCGCATTAAGACCCATGCCACTGTTGTGCATGTAGGCACCGTTGGTCGCAGCCATGATTGAGTGCATGAGGTCGTTGGAGCGGTACGAGGCGGAACGGTCGGGCTCCGGGACTGCGTGGAGGGCGTTTTGCATGTCGTATTGTTGTTGCTGCTGCTGCTGATGCTGTTGGTGTTGGTGCTGGTGCGGGTGCTGCAGTATGAGCTGAGGGCCCAGGTCGAGGGCTGATGGACCTTCGCCCGTTTGCACAGGAAGCGTTGCAGGGCTGATGTCAGCGTTCGGATAGTAGTCCGGCTGCATGAGCATATGCGGATGTTGCTGCTCTTGCGGGTGCGCGTAGTGGTTAGACATGACGGGCACGTGCTGGTGTCCGAACGGAAGGCTCATAGTCATGTTGTACTGGTTCATTAGCTTCTTGCGGTCCTGCTTGACTTTGGCTCTGCGGTTCTGGAACCAGTTCTGCAGTCGTGTTAGCGACGCACGGCATACATCATGACAGGACACTTGCGTTGATCTTGTCCAGTGGCACGCCGAGGCGCGTCGCGAACTCCTTCTTTACA